GTCGCTAAAGTTTCGTCGGAACGAATTTACGGAAAATTAACTAACGAACGGAGACGTAACAATACTAATTATTATGTTTATTATTATTTGGAATTTAGAACGTTTTTGCGTATGATGATGAGCTTATATATCATAATGATTTTTGTAGTACTTCTCTAAAAACTTTTAAAAATCAATAAAACTATTGATCTGGTTATTGTCGTTCAAAGATAATAATTCCATATTGCAGAAACCTCAAATCTAAGAATTATTTGCCTTTGTAATCAATATTTTATAATTACCTTTATTTCTTTATTAGTATTATGCATTTATTTAAACGTCTAGGACCTCATCAGTACAATTTTGTTAACTGAACAAAAACCCACGGAAAATTGTGCAAGTGGGGTTATATAACTCCCAGTTTGTAATACGGGCCAGTCTTTCTTGGTTCGTTACTGTGAATAACGAAACTACAAGGTCAGTTAAGGCCAGTAGTTCTTGGTTCTTTACTATGAATAACGAAACTACAAGGTCAGTTAAGGCCAGTATTTCTTGGTTCTTTACTATGAATAACGAAACTACAAGGTCAGTTAAGGCCAGTATTTCTTGGTTCTTTACTATGAATAACGAAACTACAAGGTCAGTTAAGAATGTTATATAACTCCTAGTTTGTAATACGGACCAGTCTTTTTTGGTTCTTTACTGTGAATAATGAAACTACAAGGTCAGTTAAGAATGTTATATGTGTGTAAAGTCTGTTAAGTATTCTTATTAACAATGGCCAAGATTAATGGTAACCTGTAAAACTTTCTCTTCAGTTGCATACAAACTGTTTTATACATAGAAGTAAATATGTAATGGATGCGATGCATTACAATGTATGAACTGTTGAGGCTACCTGAACAGAGAGCTTGAGAGAAAAAAAACAATCTTTTCCATACTGTTCCCTATTTATTCGTTTACACTCTGGAGGAGTTTGTTACTAGCCAAAGAAAAGGCATTGTGTAGCTCTGCGCTTAACAACAGACAAACACACAAAACAAAAACTGTTTTTTAAGCAAACGAACACAAGAAGGTACGAATGTTGGTCGTTGATTTCTTAGCAATAGAGTTTGGCCAATTTCATCAAAAAATTACTATTGAATAGGAAAAAAAATCAAATTGGGCATTATAATTAGAAGAACCTTGAAGAGATTCACTGGAGGGAGGAATATCGATACCAAACTTGTGAAGAGTAAAATTGTGACAGAAGCAATAGTATTAAAATCATCTTATATATATTTACACACTCACAATAATTAGTAACAAGGTTTAAAGTAAAAGTAGCTATGTCCAGTACAAGTATCGAAACCCCGGTTTCTAGTGGCGCGTCCTCAGACTTGCAGCTGAGCCATTGGGGCCAGAAAAACAGAGATGTAATACATTGCACTTTATATTACATTTGCTTTAAATATTTTTAATATCTAAGGCTAATTCAAGACTCATCGCATGGGCACATATTTGACATGTGGGGTCATTTTAGACACCCACTGCCGTAGCTAATAACACTGTTATGTTTCATCTAGTATCGACTTAGGGGATAATAGCATTCACCTTAATTTCGGATGGAGTCCAATATGACGTTGGTCTTGAAAGTGTATTATACAATGAAGTCTAAAAAATAACTTCAAATCAAAGATAAGTTATATGTCAAAAGCTAGTTTATAAAATTTAATTACATATGTCATTCTTCAATTTCTTTTAATATACACAGCGTGGTCACAAGTAAATAGACACCACCTTTTCAGAAAAAAAAATGAAAATTTTCAGTCA